ATCAATAAATCACAATTATTGCTTTTTCCAGCAGCTTACCTAAGCACTGATATCTTTAATAAAACTGTAATAGCTTTTACTGAGGTTTGGATGGTTGAAAGTGTTTGATTTATAAAACTGCTGCCATGTGTTATTAGTACTAAGGATGTGAACCTGCTAAAAATATTGAGATGGCAAATCAAAGCTGGAAATCAGCAAAGACCCAGCAAATCCTAATGCTTGAGGCTGCATTCACACTGAGGTGCACAGGGAGTGTATTGTGCTCTCTTTCATTAATGATATTGGTGCACAGTGAACTCCCCAGGCACTGTTATAAAAATGTATTCCTGGTTTCAGGGTTTATTTCCCTGGAGTCAGATGCTGGTCTAAACAATGAGGAGTCCGGTGGCACCTTAAAGACTAATAGATTTATTTGGACATAAGTTTTCGTGGGTAAAAAAACCAAAGAAATGTTTTTTTTAGCCACGAAAGCTTCTGCCCAAATAAACCTGTTAGTCTTTAAGGTGCCACCGGACTCCTTGTTGTTTCTGTGAATACAGACTAACACAGCTACCCCTCTGATAGATGATGATCTAAAGATTTATAAATTGTAGCCCAAAGAGTAAACCCTCTTTTCCTTTTTCTTAGTTCTAAGATTCCTACCCTTGCTGTTCCCTTCTGTAAAGCACAACACACTCAGTTCCAGTGGTGATGAGCACAGTATAAATACACTTATGATTGCAGATGATTAGATATATTGAATCAGACAGAACCAGCCAAAATATTGAGACTGAACTTCGACTGCCTTACATCTTTCTGAGGTCATTTAAACCTGGGCAAAGTGGATTCAAAGAGCTACCATTCTGATCTGACAGAGTTTTACACCCATTTTGCACTGGCGTAAATGACTACACAAGATGCAAGGCAGTGAAGAATCAGACACGTTGTCTTCTATGTTTGTCTTTATTTCCCTAATTCAGTGGCCTGCCTGTAATACATAGCCATTGTGAAGTTCTCATAAGTCCCTGGAAGGCAGGCTAAAGAGACAAACATAAAAGATAATTATGTCCAATGCACTTTTTTTGTATATAGTCACACTTAGTAACATGCTGTCAGTACAAAAAATGGTGCTAACGGAAAAAGAATGGGACTCTCTAAAAAAAATTAATGCAAACTCCTCAAAAACTGCTTTCCACTGCACTCTGGGATGAAAAGTGATTTAAATAATCAGACACTGAGATCTGGAAGTGTTAAATAAAATGAAGAGAGAACCTACTAGCAGGGTACCCTGAGAAAGGCCAATCAGGTCAATGTATTTTGTTCTTAAATTGGTGCATTACTTGAATCAAGTCTGATTCAAGAGAGAAATAGTTTGTGGGAACTCCCTAATTAGAACTGGTTTCAGAGTGGTAGCTGTATTAGTCTGTATCAGCAAAAACAACGAGGAGTCCTTGTGGCACCTTAGATACTAACAAATTTATTTGGGCATAAGCATTTGTTGCCTTACCAAGTGTGAGGTCAGTCTAATGAGACAATTCAATTGACAGCAGGATACCAAGGGAGGAAAAATAACTTTTGAAGTGGTAATGAGAGTGGCCCATTTCAGACAGTTGACAAGAAGGTGTGAGTAACAGTAGGGGGAAATTAGTATTGGGGAAATTAGGTTTAGGTTTTGTAATGATCCTGCTCCTGTATTCTCCACTGCACGTATCCGATGAAGTGGGTTCTAGCCCATGAAAGTTTATGCCCAAATAAATTTGTTAGTCTCTAAGATGTCACAAGGACTCCTCGTTGCTTTTATAATTAGAACTGTACAGCTAGCTGACGAGGAAAATTGGGGTTGGGGCAGGAGAGCAAAAGCCATCAGAGATGGTCGTGTGGTTACTAGATTGGGGCATACTTTTTCATTATGTGTGTGTACAGTGCCTAGCATCATGTGGCCCTGATCCCTGATTGGGATCGCTGGGTGCTATCACAATACAAATTAATAACAATAATAGTAAGTGTAAAACACATGGCTGGGGCTTAGATCTGGGTTCTGTTCCTGATTCTACCACAGACATCTATATGAATTTGGGCAAGTTACTTCATCTCTGGGCCTTGGTTCCATAATTGGGTTATTGATATTTACTTTCTCCTGCCTTTAATCTGCCTTGTCTATTTAGAATGGGACAGACAGTGTGTTTTATGTGTACAGTACTGAGAACCATGGGACTTTGATCTCTGTTGGTGACTCTAAGGCACTATCATAGTATAAATAATAATTGAGAAACTCCAAAGTAGGTCAGATTCTGCTATCTATTCACTTCAGCAGAACTAAACTCTGATATTTTGTTTTCCTTAGAAGGCTCATATTGGGAGTGTGGCTCTAAGAGCAGACTCTTCCCCAAAAGTAGGAGGAACATGTGCCACTTCACCACAAGTTTATTCAGGCACATAAGTCCTTTAAATGCATACAGAATCTTGTAATTCAGTATTGCCTCTACAGTAAAGCTCACTGAACTGTTTGTTTAGAATAATATTCATTATAAATTAAGGGTGGAATTTTCAAAAGCTCCTAAGTAGAGCTGGTCAAGAACGTTTCAACAGTTGTATTTTTAAAATACCAATGCCTCCATCATGATTAAAATACCAAATGCCTCCATCATGATTAAATTGCTGGTCAAAATATGAGACAGGCCCATACAGAATAGCCAATAACCTGGTGGTTCAGGCATGCTCCTGGGATGTGGGAGACTCAGGTTCATGTCCCTGTGCTGGGTCAGGCAGACTAAGAACTTGGATGTGAATCTCCTTCATTCTAGATGAGTACCCTAAGTAATGGGATAATGGGTCTGCTTTCTTTACAAAAAGGGCTTGGTTTTATTCCACAGCAGAACAGAAACAAAAACCTTTAAATGTTTTGCAAAACTGATTTCTTGTGTTCTGGCCAGCCCTTTTCCTAAATTACTTAGATTTAGATGGGAATACTTCCAGGGTGAAAATTAAGCATGCTTAAGTGCTGTGATGGATAAAGGTATTAGTCACTTTTTCATTTAGTGAATCATACACAAACTCATCCTGAATGCTGCCAATGAATTTGTTATTTGTAAGGTTAGCATTTGCTGAATAGCGTCAATTAATACTTTTCAACCTCTGTCATGTTTTTGAACTGGTCATTGAAATATATGGTTTCACTATTTGCATTGTACAATTGGTTATCTAATTCACATGGTGTTGTTTCTGCTGACTGGATGACAGGCCTTTTAAGCAGAAGAATAATGAATGACCAATGAACATCCAGCAACAAGTTCTGAACAAATAAATACTGATATTAAAATTGATGATCCCATGAATCATCGCAAAGTTAACATAGTGCCTTTATTGCTAAAAATATTCATAATTCTGTTTTCTTTTTAACTTGAACCAGTTCCTCTCTGGAATGGCCTATCATTTTTTATACAGATAGAAATTCAAATGAAATTACATATGACCTCTCAAGGTCCCTTCTAGTCCTACGAGTCTAAGATCAATGCATTTCTGAAATTCTTATGCCACAGTCACCTGCCTGCCACTTTTCAGTACAACTACAGGTTCTGGAGCAGATACTGAAAGCAATAGCAACATTCTAACACACATAGAAAGGGGTCAACTTCAAACCAGTTGATTGTCTAGAAAGAAGCCACAAATACATAAATAAATACCAGAAAGACCAAATTAATGTGGCTCACTTTATTTCTGAGCTACCATCCCTACTAGAAAACATGTTATGCAAACCTCCTATTGACCTCCTTTTGGAGTTCTCCTTATGGAATAAAGGTAGAATATGGTATTAGAAACATTGCTTTTTCAGCATTTGTAGAAATATAAGCACCTATTAGATTTGGGTGAACTATAGTTTTAAATTGAGTGGGGGCTATTAGAATGAGCAACAGGCCCAAAGCATTTGACCAAAACAGAATAAAATCATGAGAAGAGTTGTTGTTTTAAACTTGTAGTGACCCTTCAAAATATCGGTGTTACATTATTTAAGGTTTGGGCTGAATAACAGAAAAGAAACACAGTTAATTGGGTACCAGCTGCAGTAAATAATTGGCAATATAAGAAACTGCTTCATCTGGCATCAGCTAAGGTCCAATAATTGGCAATGGCATCACTTGTTTCTTAAAGGGCATACAAAATTAAGCTCTCAAAGGGTTCATTGCTAATACCCACCTGATCACATTGGAGCTGACCAACAGGGGTCTAAGACCCCTGGGTTTAGCCCATTTGTAAATATCTTGATCAAATGCTTATAAATGTTTTGTTACTGTTTGGAGGTAGTAAGTTGCTTATTATTTAGGGTTTTTTTATTATTATTTAGGCATATTTAGAGCAATTGCATAAATCCCACTCAGCCTTTGTATTTAATAAAGGAATTTATGGTTAAATTGATGTCGTGGTAAAACCCTGCATAAATAATAATAATTCCAAAAGCATTGGAAACATTTTGGTTTATAGACTGTCCTTTACTATGCAATGTCATAATACAGTATTCATCTAGAAATTTATTCTTCTTAAGCAACAGTATCTGAATCCCAACACGTTTTTTATTAATCAGTCAGATACTTGGGTAAGCACTAGGGGGTATTATGCATTTAGCCATGAATATGGGGACCAGCAATCAGCTACAATATAACATGGATACCAGTGCTCAGCTGTCAGCTTTTCTTCAGCCATAGCTGTACTTACAAGACATCATTTAAAAGGGCAGTAGCATGCCTGGAAATGTTAGGATCTCCTGCACCATTCAAGCTGTTAGGCTAAAATGATGAGATAATTTTTTATTTCTTTTGACGGACTGAGCACTGGATGCAGTGGCTAACAATGCTCACCTTTTAGAAGCATCAAGGAATGGGTGGAGAGGGGTTATCTATGTGGCCTATTATTAGAGATGATCAAAAATAGTGAGAAATGACTGTAAAATCTTTGATGTTTTGGTGGGTTTGGGGCGAAGGTGGTTTGCATGCCCCCAATGCCCCCAAAGTCTGCTTTTCCATGAAATTGGCTATTTTTTGCATAGAGGGATTCAAACATGTAAAAAGCCAGCACTGTTTAAGCATGCAACACTTTTTATTCTGATTTTCTTTAAGGAATTCCTGCACAATTACATTGAATGACGTGTGCAGAGCAGAGGCTGTGGAGAAGCCCGTGTTATCGTGCACTCTACACATTTCACAGTTGCTCTATTTTCAGAAGCTATGATCCTTAAGGAGAGATTAGATAGTCAGTCACTTACCTACTGATCTCTGCAGCTTGTACACAAAAGTACGTGCAGTATATGATTTTTTCTAAACTGCCACGTGACATCCTGCTGATTGCTACTGTAATACTACTCAACTATCCTCCCCCAAAAGTGATCTAATCCCATATATGGGACCTGGCCTCCACTCAGCAGCTGGTGAGTTGACATCTCCTGCTTATTGTATAAAACGTCTCACTTTGCCCTCCCCTCTCCCACCCCTCCCCGTCCCCCTCCCACTCCTCCTGTTTGTCTGTCTTACCCACCTTTTGTGTCTTGTCCTAGATTTTGAGCTCTTAGGAATTAGGAATGTACGTTAAATACTGTGCAGTGTCTAGGACAATGGGGCCCTGTTCCTTGATTGGTGCTGCTCGACACTACTGCAATACAACTACTTGATCCACATATTTATTGTGCGGTGACCTGCTGTGTTTCCTAGACACCCTCGAGGCAGAGGGGATGCCAGTGAATTGAGTGCCAACAGTTCTGTCAGTCTGGCATTAGATAAATTAGGGATGGAGGCTGGGGTAGGCAGACTCTGCATCATTTTAGAACAAACACTAGCAGCAGTAGAATCAAAAGACCTGAAAGTGTATGTGCACAGAAAAGGGACAACTTTAGAATATAAATTAGCAACTGTAGGCCAAAAAGGCATTTTAAAACTATCTACGTCTAACTAGAGGAGTGTGGCCGTTCTGATGCAGATGTGGCTATCATCATCATCCATGCCTTTGTCACCTTAAGACTCCACTCTTGCAATGCATTCTGTGTGGGGCTGTACAATGGGGCTACTCAGAAACCCTGGCTACCGCAGAATGTGGAAGTCTACATGTTTAGGGCTAGTTTCCAAGCTGGAGTACAAAACTCTGCAGAGAGCACTTGGTATAGGAGGGGCGGGGAAATGGAAAGATGTTAGCTAAGTTGAAAAAAATAAATAAAACGCAAAATGTAGCTGCTCTATAATTAGAGAACTCTGGGAAGTATCTATAAGCCTTTTTTTCTGTTCAGGCTGTAGGCCATGCATTAACTTCTGTATTTCATTACTCTTAGCCAAATTCTACCCTCAACCAATAGTATTACTAGAATCTAACAAAGGCAGAATATGGCCCACTGTTTAGAAAGATATGCCGAAAGTTATATGGTCTGTAAAACAGAAAAATAAACTCTAAGGGTTCTTACCAAGGGAATTCTGCCATTATCTTAGCATGAATTCAAATGTGGAGTTATGTTTTGGCAGTTATTATAAGAAAATATTTAATCTATAGTTTATTTTACTCAATAGAAGCCATTCTGCTTATGTACAAATATAGCGTTTCTTTTTCAGGAATCGCGTCCAGGACAGATTTGCAGTATTTAACTTAAAACATTTGTAGGTGATTTTACTACAGCTGCATGACTCATAGACAATCATAACACAGAGCTAGTGTGGATTATTTTTATCGAATGACCATTCTGCTGAAGAAAAATAAGACAGATGATGGGATAGCACACCTCTTTGTTTCAGAGAGGCTCTTTGCACTATGGGGGGGGACTCAGCCACTGACCGAGCAGGCAGTATTTCTGCTGCTGCTGCCCACATCCAGGGATTATGTTAGGGGATGGCAATTTTAATTTCCTTCTGCACAGAGACCAAATGTCAAAAGATATCATTCCAATGGTGGTATTCTGCAATAGGTATAAAGCCTTTGAAAGAGGCAAAATGGTCAGCCTGCCCATAACTAGCTTCTAACTCAAAGCCATGCTATATACATAGATGTGGTGTACTGAAAACTGTATTAAAATACAAGTGATCAGCCTTATAAAGGGTTTCCTGGCTCTGCTTACAGGCTAGAGGGTGCTCAGGAAAGCTGTGTGATATGGGACATCTTGTATAGTTTGAAAAAAGACAGGCTGGAGCAAGGTAGGTTGAGTTGTACTTCTCTGCCTTTGGTAGCAGCCTGCTTTGTGTGTGTCTGCTTTTGTTGTTGTTGTGTGTTAGGGTTCTGGATTTAAAAACAAAACAAAACAAAACAAACACACAAAGGAGTGTTATGGTGCAGCTTTCCAGAAAGAATATTTATGTTTTTCATTTACTTCTATGTGTGTATGCCATGCACATAACAGTACACCTGGGAATGTATTATATATTATTATGTATAGCTTACTTGTACTAGAGTTTGACTAATATCTGGGCTTAATCTTACACAGACCAAAGATATTTTCAAAAGCACCTAAGTGACTTAGGAACACAAATTCCACTGAATGTCAATAGAACTAGTGCTCCTCGGTCACTTGAACGTTTTTGAAAAAACTTGCTCTTAGTGCTTCTGATGTTATAAATTTTCCTTTTCTGAAGCAACGGAAATCCAGTGCATGCCTAATTGTGCCCTGAGTATGCCTCAATTTTACCACAGAGTACTTTTCCTTCATAGGATCCCATGTCACGGCATACTTCCTTCCACCTCATGAAGTTTGTATGGAGCTCTCTCTTGTGAGGAGGAGTCAGAAACTTACTAGATGCTTGCTTACTGCTTACAGGGGTTCCCCTGCCTCTGATATCATAGCCCATCATAACACTCGAGGCCTGATACAAAGCCCAAAGAAGTCAATGGAAAGACTCCTATTTATTTCAATTGGCTTTGGATCAAGCCCTTAATCATGCAAGTAGTCTCACTGAGTTCAGATATTAGTACCACTGCAACCAGAAAGCAAGGGGATTGATTGCAGTGGGATTATTTGTGAATAAAAGCTGCATGTTGTCAATAAAGACTGCAGAAATGGGTCCTCCATCAGCACAGCAACAGTGTCTCTGCACCTCTTCAAGCCCTCTCCAGATCAAAGGCTGAATTTGGGGACAGCAGGAAACACTAAGGGTTATATCTATAAAGGGATGCAGGTGTCTAAAGTGGCAGTTAGTCACCTAAATCTAAAATGTGGATCCTCAAAACCCCTGGTCAGCTGCTGTCTCACCCAGGAGCTATCTAAATTCCACAGGTACCTAAGTCTCTGATAATAAAGTCCCCTAAAATTTTGCCAGCAGCCATGCACATTGCCACTTAAATCCTGATGCCTGAAACCTAGCCCACAGATAAGTCCCAGCAGAAGTCACAAACGAGGCACTTCCCACCACTCTCTCCTGTGGGCCCTGATCTGTTAGGCATGTTCAGAGGCCACCTTAGAGAACACCTACTGGACCAGACCCTGCACAAAACCCAGGAGAAGTCTGTATCCCAGGAATTAGAAAGCTCACGCAAAGACACAGAAGCCCTGGGTTCAAATCCTCACTCTGCCCAAGACAAACAGGAACTTGAACCTAGGTATTCTACATCATTAGTGAATACCCTGGGCTACAGGGTATTCTTGGGTGGGATTTTCTCAGTTTATCCTGCTGAAGCTGTTCCCCTTTGTATAAAATACTTGAATAGTCACTGGGCCAAAGAGAGTGAGAATGACTTTATAGTCCAATGGTTAAGCCACTCACCTGGGGTGTGAGGTTCAGGTCCCTGTTCCAATGAATATTGAATAATTTATACAAAATGGACCCATACCAGAATACCTTATAGTCCAGTGGCTAGGGCCTTCACCTGGGAGATCTAGTTTCAAGTCCTTACTCCCTATAGACAGGAGTGGAGGAACTTCATCACTGCCCTAGGTGCCAGAGGCGTAATGGGAACATGATGATGACGATGACACCTCTCAGGCAAAGTTGGTATTTGTACCCGCATCTCCCATATCTGATGTGAACGCTCAAACCACTGGGCTACTGGGTTGCTTCCTTCTACCCTTTTTGTTGTTGTTATTGAGAGAAAGGGCTGACCTGACTTAGGTGCTTAACTCAAGGAGTGGCTTCCCAGCTGTGTAGTGTAGGTAGGTGCCTAACTCTCCTCTCCTTAGAATTTCCTATTGGTTAGCTTAAGTGGCTCCCTGCTCAGCATGCTGGCTTTTGGGTATCCTGTTCTTAGGTGCCTAACTTTCCCCATGTGTAGGGAACCTGGGCACCTACTTGGGGGCTGTTGATTCCACAAGGCAGCAAGGTGCCTGAACACTAGGCATTGCAACACAGCCTAAGTGCCCTTTGTGGATCTAGCCCTAAGTTTAGAGTAACCTTGCCCACCCATACTTTCCTTTAACCTGCATTTCTCTTTTTAATGTTAGTGCAAATTAACTACAAACTATTCAAGACCATTCTGCCACATATGAATAATCACCCGGGTTTGAACCTTTAAAGTCTCGTTAAGATTATAGATTCACTACTGAATGAAAATATAAAGCATCCTTTGAAATAGTTTCAGCTCTAAACTTAGCATAATTACTGCTACTGAAAGGGCTGCGGATGACATTATAACCACCTTGGGTCAAGGCCAAGCCTACAGAGCTTTATTTATTAATATAACAAAGGCTTTTGATAGAGCTGACCATAAATTATCAGTACAATGGCTGGATGACACAGGATTTAGTACAACAATCAGAAACAGATTGGGCAGCAACTGAATAGAAAATAGCTCCCAACTGATTCAATTAAAGCAGTTCCACAAGCTTTTATACTGGCTTACAATCTCAGTTCCTGGTTACAGGGGTATTAATCGCAGGACCATGAATAGTATTGTCAATCCATATTTAAACATATACAAGCAAAACTCTAGATGACTGATGAAAGGGTTCATGTCTCTTGGGTACCCTCTTAGAAATGAATACAACTAATGGGCCCCATTCTGCTCACATCTTGTGCAGTTATTTACAGCTGTGCAATGTGAGTGCCACACAGGTGTAAAACTCTACCATTCTGACTGCAGTTATGGCTCTCCCTATTATGGGAAAAAGTTTCATCCTACCCCTGGGCTCCTGCATAAAGGCCAAGCACATTCTGACCTTTATAACTATAGTCCAATATTTAAAAAGAAAAATAGGAGCCTAAATTTAAGATCTTAAACCCACCTTTAGGGTCCTAAACAAGTGGTCACATTTTCAACAAGAGTATTGAGCATCCAGCAGCTCCCACTGAAAACAATGGCAGTAGCTGGGTGCTCATCACTTCTCCAAGTCATGCCATTAGTTTAGGAGCCTAAATATGGAATTAGGAGTCTAACTTTGGACTCCTGTTTTTAAAAATCTTTGCAAAGCTCACTATTAAAGGGCCCAATTTTCCATCTTGCAGAGTAAAGTATTATTTGACAGGGTGGCAGAATTGAATTCCAAGAGCTACAAAGTGCCTTTGAGCATAGTGCTGAGCAAGGGGTGGTGTGTAAGCTCCAGGAGATGCTCAGTGGTTTGAGCATTGGCCCGCTAAACCCAGGGTTGTGAGTTCAATCCTTGAGGGGCCATTTAGGGATCTGTCTGGGGATTGGTCCTGCTTTGAGGACTAGATGACCTTCTGAGGTCCCTTCCAACCCTGATGTTCTAAGATGCCCAGAGAGGCATTATGCTTCAGAGGTACCCCTTTGAGATACAATTCCTTTCTGGATCCTGTTTTGTTCAAGGGAGGGGAGAATATGTTACTTCCGCCTTTGAAACAGTGCAGCTTACCTCCCACCTTCGTGCTTGGCCACTTAGGGTAGGCCCAGGGTTAGTAGAACTCGAATGAGCAGACCCTGGGTTTGTTAAGCTAGGGCTTGAGCATCTACACTCATTTGCAATCCCGTGTTAGGAATTGTTGAACCCTGGGTCCCCACCCAGGGCTCCAGTGTTTATACTGCATTATGTGGGCCTGAGTCCAACCACACATATCCCAGACTTCCTAGTGCCCTGAGTTTGACTGTCCCACAAACTTGACTAGCCAGAAGACAAAGAAAATCAGACTGTGGGATTATGAGTCCCTGAGCATGAGTTCAGTGGGGCTGTGTTTACACTGCAAAGCAATAGAGCTTGAACCCTGGGTGCCTATTTGTCTCAGGCTTGAACCTCCCCCGTACCCATGGGGTCCTGGAACCCTAGGTCTGAGCCCTAGGTTAGCGTGAGTTGTGGTTAGACAGAAGGGAGGTTAGGCTTGAGCCTCGGACTGCAGTGTAGATGTATCCTTACACTGCCCATTGAGCACTCGGGCAGATCCAAAGCTCCACCCACTCAGTGACCCCTCGCCATCCACTTTGCTCATTAGGTGGAGTATCCAGTGAGCAGGGGTTCTTGTGCAACACACTAGATGCAAAACTCGATGGGTCTTACACGCCTGCTCACCTAATTAAGACTAGGGCACCATTGAGCCTTAAATACGTAACTGTATTCTAGCCACATAGAGAACCCATTAGTGCATGGCAGCAGGGTCAACACAGACACTTAGCGAGTGGCAGGCTCGTACTAAAAAGTTAGAACTTCAAAAGTAACCTCAAGATTCTTCTTTGGTTAAACAAACAGAATCAAACAGAATCACATGAATTAGGGAGAAATTTGGTATGGCTACTTAATTGTTCACCCACCAGAAAGTTTTAGCACATGAAGTTTTGTACATATGCAAGAGGAAGTTGTCCTACTTCTTGTTCAAATGTTTGGCTTAAGTCAGGCAGCCTGCAATAAAATGTAAATACATTGCAATAATGTGATGAATGTCTCCAAAATGCTAAAGTCAATGCTACAATATTTATACCAGAGTAGTAACTTCACTGAAGAACTGACTTTAAGTAGCTTAGACAATATTCCCACACAAATAGTGAATATTTATTAATTTGGAAGGACACTGAATCAAGCTTTGCAAACCACATTGTACATTCATCAAAAACACAAGGTACATTTTTCATGTAGAAACAGCTATTTTTCTGTGCAGAGCTATTTTATACTTTTCAATGATCAGACCTCAACAGTAATGTTGCCCCTATGAATGAATCTATACAAAAGTCTATTTTAAATGAACAAAGCACTGAAGGGCCAATCCATAGAGAAGCAACCATCGTTATCTGAATTCTAACTGGTGCAGTGAACTAATAAATGAAT